CCCCAAAACCCCAAAACCCCAAAACCCCAAAACCCCTCACTGTAAGTTATTATTGAAATAAGCTGTATTATAGCTCTTGGCCACCTATTTTTGTAGATAATTTCTTAGGCTTGATTAAATGCACCTTATTAGAGTCATTAATTATCTTCTTTTATTATGAAGCATGCGAATTCAACTAAAGAGACATTGATTTGGCTAAGAGATAGGTCATTTTATTGCACAATGACATCTTTATTCTTGATCAAACCAATTCTCTGGCCTTCTTTGGAAGGGATTAATCCAACTTGAAAAGCTAGGATTTTACCTCTCAGCGGCAAGATAAGTATTTTTGAGTCATTACTTGTTAATAAATATTATAAAAGCGAAGACCAAGTAATGACAAAGCAGCACTCGAGTGTAATTATAGTCTTAAAAAATGACGAACTTCAATTCTCTGGCACTTGCTACAGCCTTCCCTTTTGGTTGTCAGCACCTAAATCTCACTGAATAATTTGTCTTATAAGTTGTAACCGATGACAGAACAAATTTAGGATATTTAGATTAGTACATGTCATGAAGAAATAATGTTTCCATTTGTCACATTTTATTACAAAATGTGAGCAAACGCTTCAAGTCCATACTTCAGCTAGACAGATTAGGAGGGCACATTTTATCCACAAATTTAGCAAAATCTGAGAAAAGGGAGTCTTTATAGAACAAAAGCAGCTTTCTTGAACATTTTCGCATTTTGGCTAGTTGGGACAATAGAGGAAGTCAGTATGTTATTAATTTGTAGTAGAACTAGATGTTGCAGCAAGGGCTATTAAGGTGCAGCTAGACATTACTCTGGACTGCCAAATTGCTGCGTTAGTCTCACAGTTCTCAGCTAATGTTGTACTCTCTTCTTAGTTTACTAGTTGAATAGGCCTATATGGGAGAGAGACATATCATAGTTTAGCATAATAACTGCCTGCTTTATTCATTATCCAGCAAGAGACTGGGAGTGGTAAGCAGTTGCTTCTCGCCTTTTCAGCACCAATGTAAGCTTCTAAAGGCCCTTGGCCTTGATAGAAATTAATGATTTGAACTTCTTTGTAAGTTGTTAAATTCATGAGCATTTATTAATATTTGAGGGCTTGTTATTTAAGATCAAAACTTGTTGAAATTTTTCGGATACAGATGTATTTGGAATGTTGATCCAGATTCCTGAATGGGGTTTTAAACCCAGCCAGAGTCTTTTATATAACTACCTTTATGTGGCATGGGGTCAAAGAGATACTCTATCTACCAGAGAGATTAAAGTACAATTGCCTCTTGGAGGATTTGTCCGACCCTCTCCTTATAGCAAAATGGCTAAAGACTAGAATTAGGATTTCCAAGGTATAAAAGTCAGTTTAGTTTAATATTTTAGAATATTAATTAATAGGAGTAGGCAATAACCTTGGCTAGGAATACAATCTATTTGTCGACCTTCTTCAGGCTGTATACATTCCTTAAGGTTGGTACTTTGTTTAGTAAGCATCCTTCACTTCTGTCACTGTCAGATTCTCTGCAGTCAATACTGGTCCTGAGGCCGAGATTGAGCTTGAATTGAACGTCAGTGTTGAGCACGACGCTCCTAACATAGTCGTTCTCCAAGGAGGTCCTGATTAGCCTTCTTCTGCTCAGCTTTGGAGCCTTAGGACTAATAGTCATCCTTCTTGAACTAGTGGTGGAAATAGTAGAGCAAGTATTCATTTTGATTATAATTATTATCTGAGATCTTATCAATTTTTTAAATAAGTTATGGGGTTTTGGGGTTTTGGGGTTTTGGGGTTTTGGGG